TGACCAGGATGGTCTCGATCTCTTGACCTCGTGATCCACCCGCCTCGGCCTCCCAAAGTGCTGGGATTACAGGCTTGAGCCACCGCGCCCGGCCTTTTTATTTATTTTTTAAAGACAGGGTTTCACCATGTTGGTCAGGCTGGTCTTGAACTCCCGACCTCAGGTGATCTGCCCACCTTGGCCTCCAAAGTGCTTGGATTACAGGCGTGAGCCACCACGCCCTGCCAGGCAGTAAGTTTTTGTTGAGGCCAGGCCGGTGGCTCACGCCTGTAATCCTAGCACTTTGGGAGGCGGAGGTGGGTGGATCACCTGAGGCCAGGGATTCGAGACCATCCTGGCTAACATGGGAACCCCCATCTCTACTAAAAATACAAAAAATTAGCCAGGGGTGGTGGCAAGGGCCTATAGTCCCAGCTACTCGAGAGGCTGAGGCAGGAGAATCGCTTGAACCAGGGAGGCGGGGGTTGCAGTGAGCCGAGATCGCGGCATTGCACTCCAGCCTGGGCAACAAGAGGGAGACTCCGACTAAACAAACAAAAAAACTGTGTTTCTTGAATGAATGCGTGAGGGGCCAGAGCCTGAAACTGCGCCCTCCGTCTTCGACACGGGGCGCGTGTGGGTTGAAATCAGCGTCTGGGCCTGGGGTGGGGAGCTCAGGGCCTGGGGGACCCGCTCTCTGCGGGCGGGCGAGTTCCAGGACCCCGCGAGTGGGGCCCGGACTTTCTCTCCAGGGCGGGCGTTTTGTCCTCCCCCGGGGGCGGTGCCGGAACTTCCCGAGGAAGGGCAGGAATTTTTGAAATCCAGGCCCCGCCCGGCGGTAATAGGCACCTTCGGCCCGGAGGAACCTCCCGGCCCTAAATCACCGCGCCCGCCTCCGCCCCAGCGAGAAGCGCGCGCTCCCGGGCACCGGCACAGGTGCCGCGGAAATGCCGGGTCCCCGCTGGCCTTTGAAGTCGGCCGAGCCCGCAGCACCCGGGGATCCGCGGGCTTCCAGGAGGAGGCGCCGCTCCCGCGTCTTCGGGAGGCATCGTCGGGACCGTTTCTTGACCTGTGCGGGGAGGGAGGGGCGGGAAACGCGCGGGGAAACGCAGGCCGCTGGGCATTTTCTTTGCTTTTACTAACCTCTTTTTGCATTCATTCATTCGTTCGTTCATTCATTTGACGGAGTCTGGAGGGCAGTGGCGCGATCTCGGCTCACTGCAACCTCCACCTCCCAGGTTCCAGCGATCTCCTGCTCAGGCTCCTGAGAATCTGGGATTACAGGCTCCCACCACCACCACGCCCAGCTAATTTTTGTATTTTTAGTAGAGAGGGGGGGTTCCGCCATGTTGGCCAGTCTGGTCTCGACCTGACCTCAAGTGATCCGCCTGCCTCGGCCTCCCCAAATGCTGGGATTACAGGCGTGAGCCACAGCGCCCGGCCTCTAGCTGCTTCATAATTCACACATATTGCAGATTTGGGGGGAATAGAACCTGGAAAATACAGATGTCCTGAGGATGCTTTCATCCTAGTGTGTAAATACATCACAGAAGTAAACACATACACGCTGCTTCCCAGTGCCTTATTTAACTCAGTGGAGAAATTCACAGTTTGAAATAATGGGCTTATTGGCAGTGCTCTTTTGGCGAGATGGATGCGAACCGCACACCACACACTGAGTCCAGCTGATGCCACCAGAGCCCTGGGCATTTTGGAGGCATTTGGATTGTGGCTGGAACGAGTGACTTTAAGGTGCTCCAAATAACTCGCCTGGGGATGCCTGAAATTTCACTGGGGGTCTTTCCCTAGGAATAAGCATTATCTTTTTTCTGAGACCCTGTTTCAAATAAAAATCCCTGGGGAAGAGGGGAGAGGCTGCCCAATGAGTTCATAATCCGGCAGGGCTGTCATGAGATACCTCTGCCCGGTGGCTCTGGACCCGAAAGATGCCCCTGATGGGGAGCCAGGGCTGCAAAGGAATCTTCCCCATCGCCCTCTGCTGCTGACTCAGCCCAGCTCTGCCTCAGAAGGGAGGTCAAAGGGCAGTGGAGGGAGAGTCAGGCCCAACCAAAACCCGAACCCCAATAGCAGCCAGCCAGGCTCCGTAGCTGAGAAAGCCAGAAGCTCTGGGTGAGCCCTGCCAGGTGGGACACTCATGCTTTCCTCAATGCCAGCTCTGTGGTTGCCCATGAGACTTGACAAGTACTTTCAAGGTTCTTAAAATACACCAAAGGCCAGGGGCGGGGGCTCACGTCTGTCATCCCAGCACTTTGGGAGGCCGAGGCAGGTGGATCACCTGAGGTCAGGAGTTCAAGACCAGCCTGGCCAACATAGTGAAACCCCATCTCTACTAAAAATACAAAAATTAGCTGGGTGTGGTGGCGCATGCCTATAATCCCAGCTACTCGGGAGGCTGAGGCAGGAGAATCACTTGAACCCAGGTGGTGGAGGTTGCAGTGAGCCGAGATCGAGCCCCTGCACTCCAGCCTGGGTGACAGAGCCAGACTCTGTCTCAACCACCACAACAAAAACACCAAAGCACCACACTTCTGGTTTTTATTTGTATTTCTGAGGCAGGGTCTCACTCTACTGCCCAGACTGAAGTGTAGTGGGGCGATCACAGCTCACTGCAGCCTCGACCTCCCTGGGCTCAGGTGACCCTCCTGCCTCAGCCTCCCGAGTAGCTGGGACTACAGAAGCTTGTAGCACCGCACTTGGCTAATTTTTGTATTTTTCGTATAGACGGGATTTCGCCCTGTCGGCCAGGCTGCTCTCGAAACGCCTGGGCTCAAGCGATCCGCCCGCCTGGGCCTCCCAAAGTGCTGGGATGACAGGCTTGAGCCACGGGGCCCAGCCGCTCCCACTCTTTCCGTTCCCATCAGCTCTAGTGGGGAGGAAGAGTGTGGAACGCGTCCACCCTGCAGCAGCCCCGGAGTGAGGCCAGTTCCCTGGGGCGACGTGGCCAGGATGCCTGTCTGGTCTCCGCTTTCAGGAGCCTGCAAGCTTCCTTCCTCGCCTTCCTCCTTCCCTCCATTCCCCCCTCGCCCCCCGACCTACCTGGAGGCCGGTAATAAAGCAGGAGGAGGGAGATGGATGGGTGGGAGGGCGGGGCGCAGCGTGGTGCCATAAAGCCCCGCCGGAGAGGCCAGTCCAGGGAGTGTCCAGCCCGCAGGAGCCGGGACCGTCCGCGTCGCGAGCCGGGCCTGGGGCAGAGGGCAGAGGGCAGAGGGCAGAGGGCCCGGGAAGGCCATGCTGCGAGCGCCGGGACTAGGCCTCAAGGCGCGGAAGGGGGCCGAGGGCTCTGCGGAGGACTTGGGGGGCTCCTGCCCCGGGGTCGGGGCAGATCTGGGGGTGCTGTGGGCGGGCCGCGCTCCCCGCGGCCTGGGCGAGGCGGAGGAGCAGGCGGGCGGGAGGCGCGCGCGGCCCGCGCGGTCAAAGGCGCGGCGCATGGCGGCCAACGTGCGGGAGCGCAAGCGCATCCTGGACTACAACGAGGCGTTCAACGCGCTGCGCCGGGCGCTGCGGCACGACCTGGGCGGCAAGAGGCTCTCCAAGATCGCCACGCTGCGCAGGGCCATCCACCGCATCGCCGCGCTCTCCCTCGCCCTGAGCGCCAGCCCCGCGCCCCGCGGGCCCTGCGGACACCTGGAGTGCCACGGCCGGGGCGCGCGCAGGGACCCCGGGGACGCGAGGGACGACTCGGGCGTCAGACCCCCGCCGCCCGCAGGGCCCGGCCTCGAGCGCCCAGACGCCGCTCGCCCCCCGGTGCCGCCCCCGCCCCGCTGCGCCTCGTGCTCCGGGGGAAGCTGGCGCCGAGGTCCGGGGGCTTCCTCTGCCGGGCCGCCTCCCTGGCCGCTCGGCGACCTGCGAGCCAGCCCCGGGATGGGTCCCCAGCACTCCTGACGCGGCTCGGGACGCCCGCGGGCCTGGAGGGAGGCCGGGCTGGCAGCTGGGCTACAAGAGCGGAGGCTGCAGAGGCGCCTGGACAGAGCGACACGGGACACAGCGACACTGCACCGGCTGAGACCTGGCACGGAGGAGACGACGCCTCTCCAGGGAAAAGGAGCACGGGGGCCTGGGGAGCACCCCAATCCCAGCCTGGGGAGACGGCTCCAGGAAAGTGTCAGGATCCCGGACTCATCTTGGACTGGAACTCGTCCTGGAGAGCAGCCTTTGCACTCCCGTGCCTCGTGGCCCGTCTGCCCTCTCTGCCTTCAGGAGGGTGAGGGATGGCACAGGTGTGGGAGCCGTGGGGCCCTCTGTGGTCTCATGGCCAAGGGCCGAGTCCCCTTCCCCTGCCTGCGCCGCTGCCCAAGCCTGATCCGGGAGAGGCAGTCAGGAGCAGCAGCAAAATAAAAAGGGAAAACTGTCATTTCTGCGCACAGGTGGGCCGGGGGAATGGGTTCATGGCAAAACCCCAGGTGTGGCCGAGCTCTGGGGCCCACAGGGAGGAAAGAGACAGCCAGCGATGATGCCCCGCCCTGCGTCCCTGGGGTGGGAGAGGACAGTATTGGGAGAGGGGCTTGGGGGCTGGGAGGTTATGGATGTGCTCAGCCCAGGCTCTGGACCTCCCTGCAGAGCCGTGGTCTGGAGTCAGCCACAGGGAGGGCTGCCACGAAGGGAGAGTCTGGCCAGGTCTCAGGGCAGGAGGCCAAGGGCAGGCCAAGGACTGGGTGCCAGTAAGTCCTGCATGCACCTACCTCCAGCGACAGGCAGGGAGAGCTCCCAGGGAACCTCGGGCCAGGGCCCCCCCATGGTGAGGGGCCAACTTGGAACCCAGGAAGGATTCTGGGTGGGGGGGTTGAGTGAGGGCAGAAGGGCCTCAGGCCAAGCCTGCTGAGTGAGTGAGCGGCACAGCCAGTTCCACGTGGAGAGCTGCCCTCGTCTGAGGAGAGCTGGTGTCCGGCTGGGCTCAGGCTAAGGGTGTCATGCTGCAGGGGCCACCTGCTGGGCCAGAGCGGGCATCTTGCGAGCAGGGGAGGGAAGGATTCCACACAGCTAGCTCAGGGTGGGGATCCCACGGACGCTAGAGAAACGCAATTAGGCATGGTCCAGGGGGGTGTCCCAGAGCAGATGGGGTGAGGCTCACGGCCACAGTGAAAGCTGCCTCCGCACTCTGTAAACCCCGGCCCTGGCTGGCATGCTCAGCATCCTGTCCTCAGCCACAGGCCTTCGGGGTCCCAATTGCCCAGGGGGGCTGTGGCACAGATGCTATTCAGAGGGGACATGGGGTCTAGCCAGGCCTGCCTGGGACCAGCCCCTCCTCAGCCACTTCTCTCGGCCTCCGGTTCCTCCCCTCTGACATGAATGGTGACTCCAGCGCAGGGCGGCTGTGAGGAGTGAAAGTGGCTCCCAATGGACTGTTTCTGGCAAACAGAAGGGGTTCCGCAGTCACGACTGTTGGCACGATTAGAATCTGAGGCGAGGCCAGCTTGGACAAGGCCGTAGCCTTCTTTCAGCCTCAGGTGTTCATTCTCTGGAAACACGATACAATGGCCAGCAAGTCCTGCTTGCCTAAATTCCAGGACTGAAAGAAATAAGGGTTCTTCTCCCGAAATCGCGTGCTCAGCCTGGAAATGGCAAGGACGCCCGAGCAGGCAGAATCCTGAGGCAGCAGCCCTGTGAGTTCAGCGGGTGGGCGGGGGGATGTCACAGGTCCGGACTTATGTCTCCTCACTTACCAGCTGAGTGATCTGGGCAAAGCACCTGGTGGCTTTGAGCCTCAGTGTTCCCATCTGTATAATGAGCTAGAATAAGTACTTAACATCATAGGCTGTTGTAGAGACTAAATGAGACAATGCATTTAAAGCGATAGCATAGTGGAGGCTGGGTGCAGTGGCTCACGCCTGTAATCCCAGCACTTTGGGAGGCTGAGGGGAGCAGATCTCTAGGTCAGGAGTTCGAGACCAGCCTGGCCAACATGGTGAAATTCCGTCTCTACTAAAAATACAAAAATTAGCCAATGTGGTGGTGGATGTCTGTAATCCCAGCTACATGGGAGGTGGAGGCAGGAGAATTGCTTGAACCCAGGAGGCGGAGGTTGCAGTGAGCCGAGACCACACCATTGCACTCAGGCCTGGGCGGCAGAGCGAGACTACGACTCAAAAACAATCAATAAATAAAATAAAGCAGGAGCATAGTGCTTGGCCCGCGGAAGCACTCACTGGGCGGAGGCTGCTCAGACACATTCAATTCACAAGGTTGTTGCAAGGACAGAAGGCCTGGGAAGGTGTTTTATAAACTGTAAAGTTCAGGACACACTGCAGTCATCAAGGTCTGTCCAGGGCTGCGTGTTTGGGTGCGCACATCATATGTTTGTGTGCCGATACTTGCCTGGCATTCTGAGTTTGTGATATGGATGTATTTTGTGTGTGCTTACACAGATGTGTGGCTGTGTGGACACTTGTGTGTGTATCAAACACGTATCAGCCTGACAAGCGCTTCCTCCTCCCTCTGATGCTGCAGGGGTCCTGGGCCTGAGTAGCCTTAGTTATGTGCCCTTTAGGGTTCCTGGAACTCTTGCTTGATTTTCTGTCGGCTTCCCAAGATCATATCCATTCTCCAAGATGACTGATATGTGGTGAAGAAAGGATTTTGTGATTATTTAAAAATGGTGGTTATCGTGGCCAGGCGTGGTGGCTCATGCCTCTATTCCCAGCACTTTAGGAGGCTGAGGCAGGCGGATTACCTGAGGTCAGGAGATGGAGACCGTCCTGGCCAACATGGTGGAACCCCATCTCTACGAAAAATACACAAATACAAAAATTAGCCAGGCATAGTGGTGCGCGCCTGTAATCCCAAGTTGCAGTGAGCCAAGATGGCACCATCACACTCCAGTCTGGTCAACAAGCGCGAAACTCTGTCTAAAAAAAAAAAAAAAATTACATGTTGAGTCAACACTGTGCCCGCTAAACCACACCTGTCATCCTGGCACTTTGGGAGGCCGAAGTGGGTGGGTCACCTGAGTTCAGGCATTTGAGACCAGCCTGGCCAACATGGTGAAGTCCTGTCTCTCCTAAAATTACAAAAATTAGCCAGGCATGGTGGCAGGTGCCTGAAATCCCAGCTACTCGGAAGACTGAGGCAGGAGAATTGCTTGGACCCGGGAGGTGGAGGTTGCAGTGAGCCGAGCTTGCGCCATTGCGCTCCAGCCTGGGCAACAAGGATGAGACTCCGTCTCAAAAAAAAGTCACCTGTTGGGCCAGCACTGTGCCAGCCAAACCCACCTTGTGTGATGAACACCGCCACGGTCCTTCATGGTCTTCCACGTGGTCCTACGTGAGAACCTGCCTGGAACAACTGCAGATGAGCGCGGCCATGGGCAGCTGGCTGGGCTGGGCTGGGCTGGGCTCACCTGCCAGGAGTCCAAATCCATGGCGGCTTTTCCCTCCGCCCTGCTCCCTCCTCTCTGGTCATTCCCCTCATCACTACCTGCCACTAGGTGGCGCTGAGAATCCAGCATCCTACACGGGCAGAGCAAACGGTCCCTAATTCCCCCGACCTCAGTCCGCCAGCCAACCTGAGTTTTTTCTTTCCTCCTTTTATTCAATCAAAAATTTAACACATAGCCGGGCGCAGTGGCTCACGCCTGTAATCCCAGCACTTTGGGAGGCCGAGGCGGGTGGATCAGCTGAGGTCAGGAGTTCAAGACCAGCCTGGCCAACATGGTCAAACCCCGTCTCTACCGAAAATACAAAGAATTAGCTGGGCGTGGTGGCGAGCACTTGTATCCCCGGCTACTAGGGAGGCTGAGGCAGGAGAAACGCTTCAACATGGAGGGCAGAGATCGAAGTGAACTGAGATGGCACCTCTGCACTCCAGTCCTCCAGTCCTCCTGTCTCAGCCTCCCACGTGGCTGGGATTACAGGTGCATGCCACCACGCCTACCTAATTTTTGTATTTTTTGTAGAGATGGGATTTCGCCATGTTGCCCAGGCTGGTCCTGAAGTCCTTGGCTGAAGCAACCCTCCTGCCTCGGCCTCCCAAAGCGCAGGGATTACAGGCGTGAGCCATGACGCCCCGCCTGATTGTAGGATTTTAAACTATTTTATACGGCCACTTTCAAACCACAGACACACATCCCTGGTGGCTCCGGGTCACACTTGTGAAACAATGTAAGGAGAAGCGTTAGAGAGAAAGAGATGCAGAGGACAGAGATGAAGGCAGAATCAGAGGAGGAAAACCTAAGAGAGAACAAAGAGGCAGAGGAGAATCCGAGAGGACAGACAGCCGGAGCCTGAGGCCCTTCAGAACTGGCGCCCACCCGAGCAGCTCTGACCTAGGGGCTCTTTGCCTGCCGGCTCTTTAGCACCACGGAACTGCTCTGATGGGCACGAGGCCGGCTCAGCAGCCCCCCTTACCCTCCTCCCTACCCGGTGCAGAGCTGCATAGAAACCTGTTCATGGGACCTGCTGGTCCAGGCAGCATCCGCACCCTCCAGGGGCTACCCCGCCCGGCGCCCACGCCTCCCCTTTCCTCCTGGAGCTGGAGCCAGGCTTCAGCCTGGATGCTCGCAGGGGTTGGGGGCCAGGGTCTGGGTGGGATGTGAGGGGAGGGCCTAGGGCCCAGCATTTCCCAGCAGATGGGAGGAACTGCATGCTTGCCTTGGCAGAAGCCGCACAGGGCTCAGTTCCCCGGACAGCTGAAGACACACCCCTGTGTGGCCCAGGGTGATTTTTTTTCCTTTTTTTTTTTTTTTTAGACAGTCTCACTCTGTCACTCAGGCTGGAGTACAGTGGCAAGATCTTGGCTCATTGCAACCTCCCAGGTTCAAGTGATTCTCCTGCCTCAGCCTCCAGAGTAGCTGGGATTGCAGGCACACACCACCACACCCGGCTAATTTTTGTATTTTTAGTAGAGGTAGGGTTTCACCATGTTGGCCAGGCTGGTCTCGATCTCTTAACCTCATGATCTGCCCGCCTTGGCCTCCCAAAGTGCTGAGATTACAGGCATCAGCCACCACGCCTGGCCACTAATGTGTCTTTCTCCCCATCCACAGCCCCCGCCTGGAGGAGCAGGCCCTGCAGCTCCAGTGGAAACCTGAGGCTGCCCGGAGTCCCTCTAGGCTGGGCTGGGCTGGGCTGGGGCAGAGGCAAAAATGCTGCCAGGGTGAATCTCTGGAGAGAGGGAATTGAAGAGGAAAAGCATCACCAAGGAGCGGGAGAGGGAGGAAGGCCGTGTGGGGTGCACGCGCGCGCGCGCACACACACACACAGCCTCCGCGACCTAGCCTGAGCCTCCCTGGGAAGAGGCGCATTCTCCTCCCTGCTCCCAGAGCTTTCTGTTGCTTCCCTGCCCATCTGTGCTCTCAGCAGCGCCAGCAAACTTGGCCTCACACTTGAACGGAGCTGGAGGCTCCAGTGTCTTCCCGGGAGCTCCG